TCCGAGGTTATGCTAGACTTAACTTTGACTTTGTCACTTGTAGGTAATTCTAATGTCTACAAAAGTTGGTATGTCTGTTAGGTTAGTGTTTCCCAAACGCCGGTCTGTGGACCAGTACCGGGCCTTGTCTTAATTTCTACTGGTCCGCATCGTGGCTTAGCTGTTGAAAGCACTGACACTTATGTTTCTTTCAATATTTGGTAACTAAAAGTCGCCCTAAGTCTGCCTTTTCTTTTTTGTTTTCGAAATATCTAGTTGTTGTTGTTTTGTAATTATCGCATTATTTTACTTATGTAATTAACAGATATTTTATTTGGAGTGTCGGTCTCCGAAAATATTTTTGGAATTTTACTGGTCCGTGATTACCAAAAGAGTGTGAACCACTGTGTTAGGTTACCTTAATTTATCCTAGATTTGGTAGTTTTAGTTTGTTTGTGTTCTTATGTAAGTTTTCCTCTGAATCTGGAATATTGTTCTGAGAAAAGAGGGAGTAATGAAGAAACGTTTGTCTTAGAAATTAAATTATTGAACATATCAATGGCATATTCGTTTCTTCCTCGTTTGGATCTGTATGAAGAATAGTAATAGAATAATGAATGGTAATTTAGTCAAAAATAAGACCTTCAATGATTAAGATTGGTCTGCTTTTGTTTTAGGAATGTTGATGTGCCTTAGGATAGTAATCTAAACACCATAATTATACTAGAATAATATATAATTTAAAACTTAAATATCATGGTGTATCACGATGTCTGTATAATGGTTATCTATCAAAATTCATCTGAAAATTCAGTAACGTAAATTATTTTACTTATATTGATCCAAACATTATGTTTGTTGGGTTGAACTTACTTTTCATAAAGACTTGTTAAGTACCTAGAATAATGTGATAGAGGTAGCATGAGAAACTTGTAAAATATCTTTAAGTCACCGTACAAATGTTTCACTGGCCTGTAGTTGCTCAAACAGTGTTTTGTTTCTTTCATAACATCACTCATTATCCACTCTATTGCAACTTTTAAATCTAAGTCTACAAATGACGTTCAAACGGAAATACCTCAATAATGGTACAACAACTAAGGTAAAAATAAACTTGTACAGTTTCACGGCTAATCAATCGAGTAATTGAATATATGCAGTAACCAACACTGATTGAAATACTTCACTGAACTGAACTTACTGATCGACTCTCTACTGATTGAAAACAACCTACTGATTCACTGCTAGCTTACTAATTGAGTGGCCCACTAGTATTTATATTTAATATACTCCTTTTATATATTTGTTCAAGTTCCTAAATCTTCGTGACGTCATATTTTAGCAATTTAGAAATTCTATGTCTAATTTCGAAAACTTTTCAATTTGACATTTTGTGCCTTTAGTTAACACTTAAACAAATTCAAGTATTGAAAATATAGCTTACACAGCATCAGTTTTGTTTCTTAGTAAAGCTTTGTAGTCTATTTGTTGAACAGCTATTTTAGTTAGTTTTTTATTTTGGACTGAATATAATTTGCATTTATTAGATCTTTTATTTTTTAGTAAACCATTTCAGTGTAGGTTTTAACATAACTCGTTTTTAAAGTTAACAGCACATTCTTAGTTTTCATAAGAATTAACAATTAACAACCCTGAAAAGTTTTATAGCTCCATCATAAAATTATTTCATAGTTAGGAGAACTAATTAACCTGGGTTAATATTCCCTCAAACTTCACTGTACTAATAGTTTAACCCTCAACTTTTACTGTTGTGGTGATATGGAGTTGCTCATTATATTGTTGTGACTTGTTCTATCGTTTGGTGGACTCAAGTGGATCATTTGGTAAAAATAATGCTAAGTCCAGTCTACGTAACAAGAACAAATGAATTTATTTATTCCTTAACATTGACTACATCCACGTTCACTTGTAGGCCTAACTTCAAATACAACGTTTTAAAAAAGTTACATGAATAATGGTACCTACGCCTAACTTAGTTTTTATCCATAAATAAACGAATAACTGAATAGTAGAATAGAATCAATAACTCTCACATTTAATACAGAATAACTCAGCAGAATTAATCAAGCAACCATTACCCATATTTATGTTTACATAGTTCATGAAGCTTCTCAATTTTTAATTTTAACGAACTTTCTAGATCTTGATGTTTTTATAATGACAATCTCCTTCTAGCAAATATCTAAATTAAAACACTAAAAATATAGATTACAATTCTGTCTACTTTCTGTATTGCGAAGTTCTTTAAACAATCCTAATAGACAAATACAACAGTAAAATAAACCGTCCTTTTAACAAGTCTTTCTGGTGGTTTTCTTCTCTGATTACTAAATTATGCCTCTCTCTGCCTGTTGTGTTCGTTTCTTGCATACAAACGGTGGGAAAATACAACGTTATGAAAATTACTAATATGTCTGCAAGGGGGGGGGGGCGAAAACCATAGATTATTTATATCTTTGGCGAAAACTGATAATCTGGCACTAAGAGTTTTAACCACATTTAGTAATCAATATATTAAGGAATATTATGTTATT